GCTTGCCCAATTCAGTTTACCAGATTGGTTTGCTGGGTCTATGTTGCCTTTTGAGACCATATGGTAGCCCAGGAATGTGAATTAACCTCATCATGGCATACCTTTTTCAAACATAGACTACCCATTCAGGGTATTTCCAGTCTTTTGTTGTAGCCACTTAGTCACAAACGCTGGTCAAAGTTAGCATTTTTTATTTGTTGTTTGCCTTTAAAAAAAAAAAAAAAAAACCTGCATCTTTACTGGTGATATGATCGTTGTGATAAGTCGTTTTTTTTTTTAAACACTCATATTTGTGTTCAGTGAAGTCTCCCGAGTATAACAATACCCCCCATGTAAAGGTTTTATGGTGTTTTGGAAAGTTACAGGGTTAAATATAGGGCTTGCCTATTAAATTCTCTGGGACTGAAACATTGACATTACATGGCATCATAATTTGTACTTTTAGGTGAGTAATAAAAGTTATGTTTTAACGGAGACCGTGAGTGCGGACCATTACTTCGATTTTTTTTTTTTTTGTACATGGATGACCTGAATCCGGCACCCAGCATTTAGTACGCATCAAGACGTTAAGACTGAAGTGCAAGGAATCTATGGATTTGTATCTAGCTTCCCGCCGTATCCATGACAATGTTAGGTTCGTCATATTCGTATTGTGGCTAATGGATGATTGCAGTCAGTGTTGTATTAAAATAGTGATCTATTGAACAAAAAGAACGTGGAATTAGATACCTTATACAAGATAGAAAGAAAGTGCAACATATACAACGTGAATCTAACTAGAATTATAAAGTGCAGAAAATATGATTATTACAATGATATCCCAGTACATACGAGGACTAGATTTAAAGTGCCAGTAAGTGCTAGGGATAAAAAAGTGCTTTCTGTATATGCAAACTATGCATTATATAAAAGTGATTACGTGCCAAAGTTCATATATAGAGCCCTCTCCTATATAAAAAAGTGTAAAACGTCTATAAGCAGCAAATTAGTCCTAAAGATGGGACACAAAATACATACTAAATGTACCTTAATATTCCAAGTTGTAAATAAACATCAAATAGTAAAAAATACAAAATAACAAATACTACATATTTTATTGAAATGGAGACAAATAGGTGGGAGCCAAGGAAATATCCCTGTACATAAAAAATTAATCGGGGCGGAGCCGAGCAGCAGAGGCAAACGGTCGCGCAACTCTGGAGCTCCGTAATACAAACGGAGAAATCAAGCCTAATTTAAAACCAAAATCACCCCCACTGAAAGCAGACCCCACGCAGGAACCCCACAGGCTCCATGGGTCGCAAAAACAAGAAAAGATCGACGGATAATTCAGCCCCTGGGCTCACAATTGGGGAAATGTGGCGGCAAGCATGCGGCCCGAGCGAAGCCAATATGGCGGCGCTCAGGGGGGCTGCACGGATTTCTCCGATGAATACTCAGAGGAAGCGGACGAGGAATACCCCCAAACACCAGCCCCAAAAGTGAAACCTAAACCGGGCAAACCAAGGTCTGACCCCGATGTCGACCTAGTCACCACCGGAGTGCTGAAAGCCTTACTAGCAGACCTGCAAAAAAATATCCTCGCAGACATCTCCGCGTTAAGAGGAGAGCTGCAGGGCCTGACAGGCCATATTACCGTGCTGGAAGACTACTCTCAAAACCACCATCACACCGTCACCGCAGGGTGATATGCAGGAGCTGCACCGCAAACACACACTACTTGAACGGCGCCTGGATGCCCAAGAAGACACGAGAAGAAGACTCAATATTAAGGTCAGGGGGATCCCGGAGGGACCACCAGAGGCAGATCTTCCACACAAAATCCAAAGCCTCTTGGCCACCATACTCCCCCCGGGTCAAAACACGTCTATCGAACCCCCAGACCTTTACCGGATCCCAAAGCCCACTGGGGCCCCAGTGTCAAGTACAAGAATGGTAGGGACAAGGCAACGGTCCTCAATGCCCTCCGAGGTAAAACTCCCTTGAAATTCGAGAATGCAACACTCAACTTTTATAACGACTTGTCGAGGGGAACCTTGGCATGGCATAGATCGCTCCGACCCCTCAACGCCACACTTCAGCACCAAAAGATCCCATACCACTGGAGATCCCCTCACATACTCCTCATGCAAAGGGGTGAGACCACCCATCAAATTCATGACCCACAAGACGCAACAGAGCTGCTACTGGCCTTGGGCCTAAGCTGGGACTCACTCCTCCAAACGGGCCTCCAGGCCCCCTCCACACCGAATAACAGCTGGGACCCGGCGAACAGCGCACCATTTGTGCCTCGAAATCCTACATCAGTCACCTATGCTGCGTTCACCACCTAAGCAGAGCAGAGGTGCCCGCACTACTATCCTGGCACTGCCAGCACCTGACTACATTGGATTACCGTGCTAGACAGGGGTAACTTGTAACCCCCAGGACTCATGACATTTGCATCTCTTTTTTTTTTTCTTTTTTTTTTTCTTCACCTTTTTATTTTCTACCCATTATTTTTCATGGGTTCTGCCATCCCTTGGAGCGAGACTCACGCCTGGTAGACCCCAGGGAACTTTGTCGCTTGGACTTACATGATCGGGTCTGTCCACCCGCATTTCAAGCTATTATCTGTTTATTAGTCATCTAATCTACTTAGTTAGCCTCTAAATAGGCACATATAGACGCAATCGTACTGTTTACTTTGCTTTGCAAGGTCTAGCATTGTGCTTGTAGCGAGATATGTCATAACCGCTACGGTGGTTTGGCCTGCCCCACAGGCCTCCCGGGCACTCAGCCTATAACACTCTTTAAATGACAGCCTTTGCTCCACAGTTCAAAGATCGATCTCAAAAGTAGGTCAGTGTTTTTTGTCTAGTGCTTATTAACGGACCCTGCCCATGGAGCAACCTAATTAGACATCTAGAGCACTGACTAAAGAAACGTCACTATAGTCAGCCCAGAATAATAGATATATAGACAAGATATCTACTTTACGATTACACTGGTATTAATAAGTTTATCCTTTTTCTTTCCTTTTCTCCTTCCTTTTTAATAAAGTTGTGCCTTTAACAATTGGACTGGAAAATTAGCCCACCGCCATGTAAGGCCACTTAAATTCGCGGCTAGCGCGATCGCACCACCAATTAAAATCACCCATGTTGGAAAACATTCCTAATGTAATTCTACATATAAATGCATCACTCAATATGGTATTTATCACAAACCTGTGCGTAACTCACCTATTAGTGACTTGCTCTCATTTATATATAGAAAGTATGCAAAGTTGAAAATGCAAAAAGGAACAGTTTTTTTTGTTTGTTTTTTTATATATGCCTCGATTGGCCAAGTACATTATTTAACGACACCTACTCTCTTTATTTTGTTACATGTCTTTGTTAGCCCATGTCGGGGCTCCCAGGGGGTCTCTCTTATAGATCACTTGTTCAGACTATCACAAATGTATTCTTGAATAACTAGTTAAATATATTGAATGTATAGCTCATTAGTTAAATCAAGGAGGTTAGCTCAGGTCCAGAGCATGTTAGCATCATACCAAATGGACAAAACGGAATACCAATCTCACGTTTACCTATTACTATGCTTGACTACTTTAGCACGTTAAATAAGCAATGCATAATAACCTGTTATATTCCTATTTAACAAAATGTGCAAATGTATCAGGCCATGAACGTGTCTGCATTAAACTGCCTGTGTCTGCTGTCGTGGCTACACGGGTATGCTTGTAAAGTATTTTTGCACCAAAAATAAAGAATTAAAACAAATATTAATCAAGACTATTGCTTCTTCCAAACATTGGGCTTACTTATACTAAACAGTGGTTCCATAGGTCCCAATTTAGGACCCAATATAAAGGGAAACATAATATATTGAATGGAGCCTTAGAAATGGCAACTTTATGATTACCAGAATGACTATAAAGAATATGTATTGCAAAATGGGACTGTACTTTTCAGCCTAATGAAGCATACTAATTTTGGATCTTGAAAAAAAAAACAACCTACTCTAGGGCCCAATGCATAATTACAAAAAAGAGCTATATGTAAGCTTTTCGTTGAGGCCTGCTGATGCTATAGTATTAAGTTCATGGATCCAAAAGTTTCACGATTTAAAAGATGCTTTGCTCTATCTCCACCATGTTGTGATTCCGGAGCATGATCTATCCCAATGAATTTGAGTGACGAAAGGGGATGCTGGAAGTCCATAAAATGATTGGCAACTGGCTTATCTGAGGTTCCATCACGTATGGCTAACCTGATGCTTGAACAATGTCCTCTAATACGCTTGCATAGCTGTGTCTCTGTTTTTCCAATATAAACCTGTCCACATGACAGTTTATATATTATAAAAGTGGATTTACAGGTGATGGTATATCGTATTTGGTACGTCTTGTCTGTATGGGGATGATAGAAGTAATGGCCTGGTGTCATATGTCCACAAGTTACGCATCCAAGGCATTGTATACAGCCCCTGTTATGCGCTTCTGTCTTAAGAGGCATATAGCTCTTAATCGGGTCTGTGTGTACCAAGAGATCACGTAGACTTTTCACTTTTTTGAAGCACATTAGTGGAGGTTGTTTAAAAAATTGTGTCAATGTATCATCATGTTTCAACATGTTCCAATTCTTAGTTACAATTGTGGTCAACTTTGAAGATGCCACATTGTATATAGAAGGGAAAATTATTCTGTTTTGAGTTTTCTCTGTGGAAGAGGATACATTCTGCCTTGCCATTAGTAAAGCCTTCTGTGGTAAATCCAATTGGTATCCTCTATTAATACATTTCTGGGTCATAGCTTTAATTTGTTCTTCCATTACCTCTGGATTGGAATTGTTTCTAATCACTCTCATATATTGTGCTTTGGGGAGTGATTTTAAAAATGCATCTGGATGTGCACTTGTGGCATGCAATATAGTGTTTAAATCACTAGGTTTAGTTTAAAGACTATACTGAATTGCACCATTTTTTATTGAGATCTCCAGATCCAAATAATGTACCTTGTCCTTGCTTATAGTTGAAGTCATGCGGACGGGTGTGGGGAGGTAGTTAATGGTACTGATCATATCCAAGGCTTCTTGTTCCGTTCCTTGCCATAGAATTAATATGTCGTCAATATAGCGATAGTATCCCTTTATTAGGTGTCCATATTGTGACAAAATATTGTGTTGTTCATATTGGAACATATAGGCGTTGGCGTACATGGGCGCCATTGCTGCCCCCATAGATGTCCCTGATGATTGTTGATACCATTGGTTTTCGAACCTAAAGTGGTTATACTGTAGATCCAGGATTAAAAGTTCTAGTGTAAATTCCACGGGAGGTCCTTGATACAATGGAGAATGTGTGAGAATCTGTCTCATCGCTTCAATACCCTGATCATGGGGTATAATCGTATACAAGCTGCCAACATCCATGGTTATCAAAATCGGTTGATCCACGTTGAACTTTATCTCCTTAATTTTACTGAGTAACATTTTGGTGTCTTTGATGCACGTGGTGAGGCTTTCAATGGGAGCCTTAAATAGATGATCCAACCAACGAGCAATTGGTTCAAGTACCCCCCCCCCACAGCTGAGCCTATAGGTCTCCCCGGTGGACATTCTGCATTCTTGTGTATTTGTGGAATACTGTAAATGATTGGCGTCCTTGGATGTTGGAGCTGAGAAAGTGGTAGATCTATTTATCCAGCCTTTACTCCAAAGCTCACAATGTCCTCTATGATAACTAAAACAGCTTTTGTTGGATCATTGCTTAGAGGTGTATATACTGTATGGTCCTGTAATTGCATCTTTAATTCATTGGCATATCTTTGATAATCCATAATAACAATCCTGCCCCCTTTATCCGTGGGGTGAATTACTATATTGAAATAATTTGCCAGTTCCTTATTGATTTTTCTTTCTCGTTTAGTGATATTTTGATATTTATTTTTATATTGTTGTATTGCAGTTCTGGTTTAATTTCCTGTTGTATTCAAAAAGGTTTTAATAGAAGCTTTCGAGGAAGGTGGATCAAATGTTGTAGGGTCCCGAAATCTATGTTTGTCGTGAAAATAGGTTTCTGGTTGTAATGTATTCCTGCTTTCATAATGGTCCTTAAGTCTTAAGGACCTTCCCAATTGCAATAATTTAACATTCCATTAAAATAAATTTGGGCTAGCGGTAGGTACAAAAGAAAGTCCTTTACTAAGTAAAGAGACTTCATCCTCTTTAAGTTCCTGCTTAGATAAATTAAATACAGGTATTATCTCCTCAGAGGGGGTTTGTTCCTGAGGATATATGCCTGGCACTTTGTGGCTTCTGTGAGTCCTCCGCTTTCTCCTTCTTTATTCTTCTGATGACTGCGGGTTAGTGTACCTGCTTGTGAGGTTCCTAAAAAAGGATCTTTCGGCTGTTCTCCCTGAGTCTCATTCTCAGGAGCCGATTCCCCAGAAGTAATATCAATAGTGGGGATAGTGAGACACTGAATCCTTCTCCTGCGTCTACGAGGTCTTTGTTTTGAATTCCCAGACAACCATCTATAAACCCCATGGTCCTGGTAGTCCTGTTTTAGTCTTTCAAATGTTTGTCTTTTAAATTGTATAAGCTCATCTTTATATTTCACAAGTTCCTCTTGTACCTTTTTGTTTCTTTTTTATTCCCTCTTGTGTGGATAATAGTAATGCCTGTTCCTGCTCCAACTCCATGATTTTGCATTTGGTGTCGATCAGGTCTGATTTGATGTTCTTGATGATTATTAACATCAGGTCCAGTGAAGCACGATTTAGTACAAGTGTCCAATCCTTACATAATGAGGGTTTTAGATGTCCGATGGTAGGGATATTAAGAATTCTAAACCCTCTGGGGATTTTTCTTGCCTTATAGTAGTTCAATAAATATATATATCCAAAATAGAATGGCTTTTTAAATCAAATTTAAAAAACGACCAACGTTTCAGTCCCTCAGACTTTCCTCAGGGTCAACAATAGGACAATAATCAATGTTGACCATGAGGAAAGTCCCGAGCGGGGACTGAAATGTTGGTAGTTTTTTAAAATTTGATTTATTAAAGTATTTGAGGTTTTATGACCAGAGAGCAGCCATTCTAGTTTGGATTTCTATGTTTGGAGCTCAGGCTAATTCTTGCACCCGACAGTGGAGAAGCTAAAGCGTGAGTGCGGGGAATTTTTCCTTTTTTAAAATGTATATATATGTTAAGACACCCCTGGCACAAAGGAGTGAAATCACTGTTTAGTTAAGCTTCTGCTTCCTCAATAATGCAGACTCAATTCGTGTATACTTCAACCGTATGAACTGCAACCAGGGGAATGTGCCAGTCTCCTGAACAGGACCCGTACGGGTGCTCCAAACTCCCAAACAATAAATCCATGAATCGCAGCTTACAGCCGAACCAATGTATTCTCCAAGCGGCTTACGTTTCCAGCAATCAGTCGCTAACCGTGTGTAGTAAATCCCCCCCAATAACAAGACCAAGCTCCGCATTGAGGGTAAAACAAGAACTGGCTTTACTGTGGGCTACCTGCCAGTATTTATGCAGGTCTCCCACTTGGTGGACACTCCCCTAGGGGACCAAATGGGTGACTGTAATGACAGACAGACATATTGGATTTTAAGACATACAGGCACAAAATATTCCCATAATGCATCCTGGTTTCCTCCCCTCTGCCCTGGAGATAATTGAGAAGTAATTCAATTATCTCCCAGGACAGAGGCAAATCGCCATTTTAAATGAGACACAGAAAACACATGAAAATAAATAATTATTCAACTACCGAACATATTACATTTGTGCAACGTATCCCCAGATAGCCTGGATCTGAGTGCACATTCTTAGCGAATAGCGCTCAGATCCCATACGCACAGTTCAATCGCCATGGAGTCAAAGTCTTTTACAGTCTTTCGGTATGTGATTGACTCAATGGGAAGGCTATCTGGGTTAAGTCCATTCGTATAATCCAAACTCCTGAACGGGCCGGTGTTCTTGAAGAATGAGAAGGGCGGTCTGTAGTCTCAGCGGTGTTCGGCAGAAAAAGTGTCCGTTTTTAGTTCCATAGAATCTGTGCGGAACACCGCTGGTCTTTCACATGGTTTAAACACCGCTGGTCTTTCGCCTCGTGGTCGGCATACGAACGACGACCACCCTGCATTCGGTTATAATTAAGAGGTGTCTGCAGTTAACCACAATGTTCTAATTGGGATCAATAGGTTAACCAGCAGCACACTTCTCTTCTGGGTGGCCGTCTGTTTGGTAAGTTCATTCGGTAAAAAGTCAAAAAGACGAATAGGGGTATATGGACAGGCAATTCCATGAAGGGGAGGCAAACTAGACGAACCAGCAATATTAGTCTTACAGATGAATCTGCCACAATATATATATATATATACACACATATACATATAATACGTGTGTATATATAATATGTGTGTGTGTGCATACATACACACACACACACACACACTTTTTATTTCCTATATATGTATATTATAAAATAATTAAAGGATTTTATAATATAGTATACATATAAAATGCAAATATATGATTTCATTATGAGTGTATTTTGAGATATATGTGTATTTATCTCAAGGTACACGTATAATGCAATCATACATATGCATTATTTGTGTTTGGGGCAATTTCAGTATAGTATGAAATAGCTAGTGAGTATACTTATTCCAATAATAAAAAGTCGGTAGAGTTGTGCCGACGACGTGTGTAGTAGGCCTGTAAATAAGTGGGCCTACCTTAAATAGTATATGAATAGAGAGAGCGGAGGGTGGGCCAACAGTACGTCTGGACCAGTAGGTAAGTTGGGTAGGAGCGGAAGTCCCTTTTAAAGGGACATAGCCCCTACCACAACTTCAGGCCCCGCCTTCCAATTTGTGTTCGTGGCCATTTCAGTATAGTATGAAATAGCTAGTGAGTAGACTTATTACAATAATAAAAAGTCAGTAGAGGTGTGCCTATAGTAGGCCTGTAAATAAGTGGGCAAAAAGGAATACCCATATTGTGTTTATCAAAGATATTTATTAAGAAAACACAAGACATGGAGTTAGCGTATTACAATGACATTTCACCCATGCATGCCTTAATTCCTGTGTCGGCTGAGGTATGCGTTGTTGGTGAGGAAGTATTGAATAAGTACCTCGTGACCCATTTGACTGGTCTTAGTTGATGGTAAGCTTAATACGTAGTGATCCTGTATTTGTACAGGTTAGAATACCGTAGGCAAAGCATGGAATCGTGTTGCCCTGTGATGGGAAATTCTCTGGGTCGTAGGAACCATCAAACCCAGTATATGGCGTTTCCTGAGAATGGTGTTTGTAACTGAAACATGTGCTGTAAAATGCCCAGCAGATATAACTTAATAGTGTTGTGTGACCTTTATTGAGATATGGCAAAAAGTGGCAAAAGCCCCCCAACGTTGTATTCTTGAACCAGTTTGTAAGGTGGTGATCTGACATGAACTTCGATATATGCAGTAAGATCTGTTGTAGCAGTGTGCATATTCTTTGAGGGTCAACTGTGTGAATTCCTGCTGTGACTTAGCAACTCTTCTATTCCATCGGTAATTCTTGGAGCTGGGGAGTGATTGTAGCTTTCGGTGAGGCAGTTGTTAGGGATCTCCTGAATGCCTGAAACTGAAGACTAGCTAACTGGATAGCAGCTGTATTGTAAATGCCTGGTACGTGGTAACATACCAGATAAAAAATTGGTGACAGGCTTCCTCTATGTTAGTCGTCTGATGAATACATACTAAGGGATACAAGACCGGATTTGTTTATGACATGGCCAATTGACAAATTGTCAGCGGCCTCAAACCGGTCTGCTTGCTCATGAATGACCTCATGTCGCTGTTGCGGCTATGATGGAATATACCTTGAAGCGTGCAGAGTTCTTAAGGAACCCTTCGATCTGGCTTACTTCTTTCGGCCATCTACCACATAACCCACTGTCCCCTGAGATTGCAGCAAGCCCTGTGCAAGCTGCAGCCTCAGGGTGACTACATATGTAAATTGCCCTAGTTAACGACATATATATTTACAGGGAAGCGACACCTAAATATATTGTCCCTAGGCGAGTTCCAGCTGGGCGTCCTTCCGCTAGAAGAACCTGAAATATGTATGAAGTATGTGGGACATTCTGGTTTACCAACAGGAACTTATATTGGAGATCACGTAAGTGTCTGTGACTGGAGTTGTAAATGCAGAGA